ATAACAATTATTTAAGTTAGTGAGATTTCATAATAGTGTTTTTCATCAATTTAAATGTATCATCAGAAAGATTATTAAGATCAAATTTAACAGTTTCGTCAGCATTTGCGTCAATGATGTTTTTAAGTTCTAAAAGTTGACTTCCATTCATATTCATCATTTTTTGAACAACATTTCGAAGTTCGTCATTGCTTCTTTCTGGAATTGATTCATCAATAGTATCCAATAATGCTGAATTTATAGGTGGTGGTTGAAAAGATGAACTGTCATCAACTTTTTTACTCTTTTTTATTTTATTCTTTTTAAAAAAGAATGGGTCTTTAAAATCTTTTCGTTCAATTTTATCTATTGGTTCAGGTGAGATAAGTTCAATCGAATCTTTAAGTTCTTCTGTTAATTTTGCAATCTCTTTTTCTATCTCATCTTTTCTATTAATCAAAAATGTTTTTTCACTTTTAAGGTCATCAAGAGTTTTGTATTTATCTTCCATAATAATACGTTTTGCAAATTTCCCAATGAGATTTTCAATCTTCTTCTTTTTTAATGTTGTTTCTCCATCAAGAAGACCTCTTCCTTCTCTTCTTCTTTCTTTACTATTATCATCAGGCATAATATATTGAATTTCAAATTCTTTCACTGAATCAAGACACATTTGTGCAACTGCTGCTGTTGGAGTTCCTTCTCCATACGCTTCAATAAGATTAGTAAATAATTCTTTGTATTCACTTACAACAGATCCATCATTTCGTTCAGTGATTTCATCAATTTGTCTTTTAACATCCATATTGTCATCAAAAAATGATAAATAACAATTTTTTTGTAAATATTTAAACAGTTCATTTGCAAGAAAATCACATGTTTTAATTGTATCCAAATCACTTAACATCCTCACTTGTTTTTCTCTTTTTAATGACATTTTTGTGTAAAATGATAAAAATGTTATATTTTTTTCAGTTATTCTTTTATTTTTTATTTTTGTCAAATAAACATAAATATTTTATTCAAAACATTTATTCATGTTTTTCTAATAATTCTTTTAGTTGTAACAAACCATTGTTTAAATTTAAATGGTTTGTTTTTATTCTAATTGAATTTTGTATACTTTTAATATGATTTAGTTAAGAACATTTTCTTGTTAATAAAAAACATTCTTTTAAAAATTGAAATAACTCATTAAATTATGAGTTTCTTATCAATTAATTATTATTAATGCAATTCTTTGTTTTATTGAAAGTGTTAATTTAATATAAATAATTCATATAAAAATAAATAAAAAGTAATATATAACATTTTAATATTAAAAATATTCTTAAAACATTCACTTTTCATTATCATAATACTTATTTTTTAATAAAGTGACACATTTATTTCTTAAATCTGTTTTGTTGTTATTCATAAATTTCAGTAGTTCTAAGTATGTTATGATAATTGAAATAAATGGTTCATAACAAAGATAATATTCAATCACAACGAATTATAATCTTTAACAAAAAGAATAAAAACATTATTCAAGGAATTTTAAAATTCTAAAAATCAAAATATATGAAAAAAACTAAAATGAACAAAACTTAGCAATGGAAATAGTTCCCATAAATGATAACAATCATGTCACTCCAGGAGATGAGATTTTTTATGAAGAAGGATGTATTCCAGGAAATGGAATTCTGGTTGAAGGGAATGAATTTATATCTTGTGTACATGGTACAGTAGAACGAATTAATAAACTTGTTTGTGTAAACCCAATAAGGGCTCGATATTCTGGGAATGTAGGTGATGTTGTGGTAGGAAGGATAGTATCAGTTGGAGTTGGATTTTGGAAAGTAGACATTAATGGAAAGAATACAGGATTATTACAAATATCATCAATTAATCTTCCAGATGGGATTCAACGAAGAAGAACAGAGATTGATAATTTGAATATTAAAACATTTTTTGATGTTAATGAATTAATTTGTGCTGAAGTTCAAAGTATGAATGGACAAAGTTGTATTCAATTACATACAAGAAATGAACGATATGGTAAATTAAATGAAGGGATATTAATACAAGTTCATCCATCATTAATAAAGCGATGTAAATCACATATTACATTATTTAAAAATGGGATTAAATTTATTTGTGGAATGAATGGATATATTTTTATTAGCTTAAATAATGAGAGTGATTATTCAAATGTTGGATTTGAGAGAGTTGCTCGTGTTGCAAATTGTGTAACTATATTACAAAATAAAACAATGCATATTAATGGTCCTATTGTTGAACATTTATCTGAAGAAACTGTAGGTTTAGGAATTCCTGTAAGTTTAATGTTACTCAAGAAAAATCAAGAATTAATTATTGCAAAATACGTTGAAGAAATGTCTTAAGAATAGTATTTTACTTGAAGTAAATTGAATGAATTTTTTATTTTATTTTCATATTAACTCTTTGATAAATAAGAAAAATAATATTAATTGTTAGAGATTATCTCAATAATCTATTGAATACAAAATGACTTATGAAAACCTATCGCATTCATTCTTTCCACTTGCAGAAAACATCAATACCATTGTCCAAAAGATAATAAAGGGTTGTGTTAATTCTGGTTTTACTATAATAAACCAAGAAGATGAAAATAAACTTGTTCAAATGGCAAATGATATGAGCAATAAAACAGAAGATTTGATGAATGAATATGATTATTATGAAATGATTAAATCAAAACTAAAAGAAAAGACAGATTCTATTAGTGAAACGATTGTTTCATTAAGTTTACTAAAAAGTCCTACGAGTATAATCGATGCTTTATTACATCTTAATGCAGACTGTACTTCAATAGTCATTATTGCAACAGTCTCTCCATTTTTAAGGGTTTTACACCAAAAAGAAAAAGCAACTTCTCTTATAAAAGGATTTAATCAAGGGAAACATTCTGTTGATGAAGTTCAAGAAATTTGCCTCACAATCACTGAAGTTGTTCATTTGCTTGGATGTTTAGGTGACTTAACTGTTAAACAACAAAAAGACATTCAACAAACTCAAGAATGTACAAACAAAATTTACCAAGATTCACTACGAGAAATGCAAAGAAAAATAACACAGAATGAAGATATTACTGAAGTGTTGAAACCAATTGACAAACAGTTGTTTGTAATGATGGATGTTGTTTTAGGTATTCAAAAAGAAGTTGAAGATGAAATTCAAAAGTATGTTGAAGTGAGGGTCAAATTTAATCAAGAATATGAGAGAAGAAAAGTACAAATGGGAATATCATCTGAACCAAAGAAAAGTAAAAACTCAAAACCAAAAGAAAAGCTATCAGAATCATTAGAAGAGAAAGACAGAGAGAAAGAACAACAAGAATATAACCAAACACTTCAATTATGTGAAAAAATTGCTAAAACAGCTACAAATGAAACTGGAGAAGAAGAACAAAAACAAGAAGAAGAAATAAGAAAAATAAAAGTAATTATTGTTGGATCATTAGCTTTAATTATTCTTGGAATTGCAATGCTTTTAGTTCAAAAGAACACGGTATGATTATTCATTGATTTAATGAAAGAAAAAATATAGTTCAGAATTTTCAGACGAGAAAGAAAAAAACAAAGAACTTGAAAAAGGAATCAAGAACTAAAGAATAATGGCAGCTGCACTTGCATTTATTAGTGGAGGAGATATTGAGGAAGGAGCAGTTTTTGCTAATGAAAGTCCATTTGAACGATGTGGATTACAATTATCAACAAAACAACGATTACTTGGATTTGCTATTTCATCAGGAATAGGAACAGTTATTTTAATTATATTTGCAGCATTATATTCAGTATTAGGAGATAATGGAGGAGTTTATGCATTTATGGTATTCCATTTTATTGGGTTTTTGTGTCTTTTAATATCGTTTGTTTCTGATATTTTTAAACTAAAAGAAAGATTGAGATATAAACATTATTCACAAATAGACCATTCTTCTTATATGGACCAATGGGTATGCTCAAAAAAATTACCCATCCATTTAGAGTTGTTTCATTATTAACTGTTGTTATTTGTTTATTGATTGTAGAAATTATTTCACCTATTCTTCGAGGAGATGCAACATGGTTTGTCCTTATAGGAACTGTCGGAGAAATTTTCTGTTTCCTCTTCTTTGGATTTTCTTTACTTCCATGTTTTGATAAAATTCTTGGTAGTTGCTGTGGTGGATTCTTTAGTAATCAATAATTTAATACTTTTACTATTCATTTAATAATTGATATTCAAATGTCAAATAGATTAAATCGAATTCTAAACTATTCAATTAGACTCTTCAACAACGTTTATAACCAGAAAGAATGGAATTATTCTAGTTTATTCTTTGTTTTTTGTTGAAGTTTTAATAATAGTCGTTGTCTCACAAATGATTGCATAGAAAGAATCATATTACCAAATGTGTCTGTAGGATATAACCATGCACCAATATCCATCAAATAATGGAACCAATATGGATCAATATGATTTTGTTGTCCAAAGAATAAGAAACAATATTCAACAAATTCTTCTGGTTCTAAAACATAAATAGAGCTTTCTCTTATTTTTGTCATTTCAGTTTTAATATACCATGGACAATAACTAATACAATCAATTTTTCCTTTATATTCAGCATATAATGAATCATTAAATTGTTTAATAAATGCTTTTGATGCAGCATAAACTTGGAACATTGGAAATGGAACAGAAGATGTTGCTGAAGACATATTAATTATTAGTCCTTGTTCTTTTCTTTCAAGCATCATTGGGATTATTATATGAGTTAACATTGTTAATACTCTAATATTAAGTGAAATCATATTATTAATATCTTTTATATCAACATCTCCAAATTTACCTGGTAAATATTGACACATTCCAACATTATTTACTAATACACCAATATCAATTCCTTTAAGTTCATTTTCAATTTTGTCCCATTGATTATTTTCATCAATGGAAATAAGATCATTAGCAATAACTTTGACATTAATTTGATATTTTTCTTCAAATTCTTGTTTCATTTGTTTTAGTATTTCTTCTCTTCTTGCTATAACAATTAAATTAAATCCTTCTTTAGCAAATTTCTCAGCAAATGCCTTTCCAATTCCTCCAGCAGCTCCAGTAATAATAGCATATGTATTTCTTCCTCTATATTTTTGAGGTGAACTTTTGAATAGTTTTGGTTTCACAAATAATTTCCATAATAAAATAAGTCCAGGAATAATGGTAACTACACAAAATATTCCTCCAACAATCCCTAGAATAAGTGCACCAATATTACTTCCCATTTCTTGTTTGATTTTCAAATTCTCACCAACCCTTTTACTTAAATTTTTCTAATTGTCGTTTTTTTTGTCATTCAACTTCTTAGTTTTTTAATATAATAAATGAATATGGTTGTCTGATATAGAATTATTTGAAGTTAGATTATACAATTAGATTATCTTCAACAAATAAAGAACTTTCTGTGTTGAATTATCAATTCTATTTTTACATTAATCGTAGGGTTTTATTTAATGTGTTAGACATTCATTTTTTAAAAGAGAAGTATTTAACACTACTTTTATGTTATTTTCTGAGTTAGTGGTTGTTGATTGACTCGTAAATGTCATGTTGAGATTATGGGGAAATAGAAAAACAGAAAATAACACAAAAGAAAAAGAATAACAAAAAAGAAAATTTTTGAAAAAACAAAAATCTAACTACAAAGTTGAAGTTACTCAATCACAATGACTGCATTGCTCCTTCGATGTTTACAAGAGGCAGAGACATGTGTTGATAAGACAAATAGATTTCAAACAGCAATAATCAAATCAATGAACTGTTTATTAACAACACTTGAAAAGATGAAAAAAGATACAATAAATGAGACACTGTCATTATTAGGATTAAATAATAAATATGCATTAACTTCATATGTTAGAGATAATCATTTGAGTGATGATGCACGAGATAAATTAATCCGACATATTGGGTTTGATATTATAGATCTTTCACCGATTATAGAACAGTCTATAGAAGCACCTCTTGAAAGTACTGCAACAAGTCTTAATTGTCTTGAATTTGATGCATTTAAATTAGTTGTTGATGTAATGAAAGAGAAACAACTTGATGTATTAGATGAATTAATACAAAATGGATTAATTTGTGATAGTGGACGAGTAGATTATATAATCAATGTATGTAAAACAGATGCAATATTAAAACGTGCTATTCGTGAAATTGAAAACATTAAAGATAAATTAAAACGAAGTGAAATAGATGAGACTCAAAAAAGAATTAAATCTATAGAAATTAAAATTAATCATATGACAAAAATGATTAGAGAAACAACAGATTCAAATTCTAATCCAATAAGAGAATCATTAGATATTCAAGATAGAAGTATTATTGCTTCAGAACCTTTAGTAGAAATTGAGGTTAATACTCCTATGACAGAATTGTTAAGAATTAATGATTATGAATTAAAACAATTGGAATCATTTGTTGGAAAACATGCAACAGAGATTGTTTATGATACTCTTGGAGCAGTTGATAGTAGGATTTTATTTCAAAGTATAATTCAATCAAAAGATTTATGTCTTATTTTTTTTTGCAACAATTGTGTGTTTGGTTCTTTTCATTCTGTTATTCCATCAAGTCGTGGAGTTTGGTCTAATTCTGATCCAACTACTTTTATTTTTTCTTTAAGAAATCCAATGAAACGTTCTCCAATTAAATTTCCTTTTACTGGAAAGAAAGGAACTCTTAGGATAGAAGATTCGTTAAGTGATCAAGCTCTTCATGTATCTTATTTTATCCACCTGGCATCTACTGGAGCATTTGTTATTGATAAAGATTTTGCTAGTGTTTTCTTTTCTTTGGAGAATCCTCAATTTTTTTGTGGAACTCAACGTGGAGTACTTACAAGGATGGTTGTAGTAACAATGAGGTGATATAATTGAAGGATTGTTTTTATTGATGTTGCAAATTGAAGAGTCTCAACAAAGAGGAATCTAATTTAGTTTTAGATGAAAACGTCAATACATTTATTCAGGGTGAATGAGTTTGAAACTATTCCATATATAGTAAAATACAGAAAAGGAATATCATATTAACACAACTTACGAAGAAACAACATGGTCTATTTTAAGGAAGTGTGAATGACTTAAAGAAGAACAACAAGAACTCAAAATTCACTTGAATGAAATCAATTGAAAATATCATCATAAACGAAAATATGATTGTATCGTACCTCAAAAAGGAATTAGAGTTGTTGCAAAAAGGGGTGAAGTATGGAGAAGTATTAAAAATATATTCAACCTTCAACAAGACTCTTAAACCAATATATGAACCAGAAATTGATATTATTAATACAACAACAGACTGTGATGAAACAGAAGAAGAGAACTTTATTGAAAAAGAAGTGTCTGATAAAAGAGATGAGTCACAAATAGTTAATGAAGAAAGAAGGAATAAACGAAGAGTGAATAAACAGAGAGAATTTACAAAACCATATCATTCAATGATACATAGTGACCCTACATTGGATGCTCTTGATGATATTCCATTGAAGAATTATCAAAAAACAATTAAACGTTATTTAAAAGAGTAAAACTAATAAATTATTAACAGTTTTTATGAATTTTATGTTCTTTTTAATGAGACAAAAATAATACACTTCAAATGAGATGAAGAAAATGATACTATGAAGAAATGAGTGTTTTATAATATACATCTCTTGATGTATTGTTTGTAAGTATAAGAGATAAATTTATTTATTTTCATTTATATATCATATAGAATATGGATTAAAACAGAATGATTGAATTTATGATGCTTGAACATAAATCCAACAATTTAAAAGTATATAAAAACAGTTTCATAAGAAGTAATAAAATAGATGAAATGATGTCAATAATACATTAAATTCACAAAATATAAAATAATAAT